AAGGGTCTGCAGCAGGCTGCAGTTGTTTCTTGACTGTTTCTTGACTGTTGCTGCTAGCGGCTGTTACTATTTACAAGCTTGGGGAGAGACAACTGCACGGGCAGCCATCACTAGCTGGACTGGGAAGTAGACGCGCAGGTGGTTTTTGGGAAGGTCCGGTTTGCCTAGGCTTTGATTCCGCCCAAAGGACATCACCACCGTTTGCATCTGTGCCAGGGTCCGGCCTGTGGCTTCAATGTCTGGTGTGCCTCCGTCATCCTTCGCTCTCAGTACCGGGGCTCCTTGTGCCTCCTCAATTTTGGACTCACAGGCCTTAGCGCAAAAGGACAGGAGACCGTAGAGCCAGTAGGCCGGTTCGGCATATAGCGACAGTCCAGGCGGTCCGCATGTGTGTCAGTGCCCGAGGCTGGTTTAAGGAATGCAAAAAGCGACGCAAGTCGCCTGTCCAATTCCCCACCAATATGATTAAAGTCATGGCAAATGCTTTTCAGAACTTCTCGCGGCATGTGCTGAAAGGGGACCCCACGAAAGTTAAGTTCAGCTGCTCGGCGAAAGAGGGTAACCCGCAGCAGAACCCCAATGTGACGCAGCTGCACACTGAGGCGTGCGAGGGGCCACTCTTGCGGCAAGTTAGCATACAAGCTGACAGGGGGCACCACCGGAGGCAAAGTTGTAGGTAGCTCGGCAGTGTGGGGACTGGCTTGGGCGATGCGTTCGATCGACAGCATTTGGTACCGAAATACCATATGCATTGCTCTCTGCTCTGCTAGCTGGGTGATGTCAGCATCGTCTTGGAGGTATATTTCCTGAGTAGCGACTTCCTCCTTAATTGATGTGCGGGTGCCTGGGTCTTCAGTGGTTGCCGCTGGCACCTGTGGGTTTGCGGCACCAGTTGCGGGCGGCCTGGCCGCTGCGATGCTGAGCAGACCTGTCGCAGGCGTTGGCGGTGTGTGCAGCCGAGACTGTAGTGCATCGAGGAGACCTTGTTCTGGGGCCCGTTCCTGCGAGACTGCTGCCGGCTTGGCAGCCTTAGATTTAACTGCCAGGGGCCCCCTGCGGCGTGGGCCGTGCAGTGGCTTGGGGGGCAGGGGCCTCTACCGCCCCCTTACTGGCAGGGTGCGCCGGGCTGGTTGGGCTGGCTGGACTATCATCCGAGCGAGCAGCCGGGTCCACTCCTTGAGGCGGAGCCACAGAGACCGTTGGCGAACTTGTTGCCCATCTGTTGCGTCTTTTCTCCTCCCCTGAGGGGAGGTCAGTGGAGCTTGCTTTGGCAGGAGGCACAGAGGGGCAGCCACACGGGTGGCCACTATTGCCCTCAAGTTGAGCTTTACCCGGCCAGGATAGCGCTAAGCACATTTGCCGTTGCTCCTGTAGGCTTAGCTGTTAAGGAGCCTGCTCGTGATGTGCTGCACTTGCTCCCTCTTTTTTGAGGGAGCTTTGTTGTGCACTGAGTGTGCGAACCACAAAGCAATGACTTCCTTAGGTAAAAAGCCCACGCAGGCCACAGCTTCTCCTGCGTTCGCTGTTGCTTGGAGCAATAGACGCCAGGTTACTGCTTGTTTTCCACGGCCAGACCATCATTGCCTTTCGACCATTGAGCTCTCGACTTGCAAAACTCGTTTGGCGCAACGAAGACTCTGCTCAACGCTAACGAGCCAAGATCTAGCACCTGAGCGCTCGCGCTTGCAAGTGCTCGTGCACTGGCCTGTTGACGCAGGCCAACTGTCCGATACCTCTTCACACTTGGATCGACAAACGTTCGATTGCAGCTTAAGCTTGAATTCACGGCCCAGGCAGATAGCAGCCATTGTTCCTTTTCACCACGTCTCACTTCAGATGTACAGAGATGAAACTCCGATGTATCGCTTGGCGCCTCGTTGTCTTTTGTTTGTTTGGTTTTGGGTTGTGTTGTTTTGTTGTTGCTTCCCGTTTTTTCGTTCTTTGGGTACTCGGAGTTTCAAACCTTAGCCAAAGATGACCTGTGCACCATGCGCGCACGGGGTCTCCACTCGTACAAAAACTTACTGTCTTGGCATGTCCTGTCAACATGCAAGGAATCCCGGGTGCTTCAACAAGGAAAACATTATATATGAGCTAGAACTTCTTGCCGCTGTCTTGGCCTATTCGGTATGGTCTGGTGTGTTAAAAAGTCACATGATCACTTGGTTTGGAGACAATGACAGTGTGAGGTTCTCGCTAATCAGAGGTACTGGCACAGGGAGCTGGGGAGAATCTTTGATGGAGTTCCATTTTAAGAACGAAGTCGATCTGAACGCTTTGTCTTGGTTCGCTAGAGTACCAACCGAAGCGAGCATCAGTGACTGGCCTTCACGAATGTGCAAGCATGAATTGCTTAAAGACCTTGATGAGTGTTCCACACTTGCACGTGAAACATTTTTGAGCTTGAAGAATTTTGTACAGTTGTATGTTCGGGAGCTCGAAACAGAAAGGGGGAGTGGATGTCGAGCCCCCATTGTTGCAAAAAGAAGAGTTCATTCTGCA